GCCTCCGAAATACGTCGCAAATATTTATTCCCAGCTGCCATTTGTCCTTTGCTATTGTTTATTTTTCCTGGACACAAATTTAACATTTCTGGGAAGCCAAATTTAACAAACTGTTCCTCTTCAGTATCCCAGTTTGGGGTCATCCTTAGAAAATTCTTCCCTACTCTGAGATCACTAAAAATTCTCTATACTTACACGTTCACTCTTTATGTTTCAGTATTTGCTCCAACAAACTGATTTATTTCTGTGTCTTGACTTTGATGGTGTATTTAGAGGAATTTAACATTTAAAGGAAGGGAAGAACAAAGACAAGGTGCACAGTGTGTCCTCTGTAAATCTATCTGAAATAATCAAAAATATACGCACGTGGTTGTCATGAAATCCCGGAAAATTTAGTTTCCTTTCAAAATCTAGGTCACCCAATCATTTCTACCTTTCAACATTTCCAGCTTTTTTTTTTCCTGGCATGGAGCTTACAAAGACGTTAACAAAAATAGAAAGGTCAGTATTACATCTCGTGGTGCCCTCCCATCACTCTGTGGTCAAGAACCCAATGAAGTTCAAAGCGGCCTCAAAAAGAGATAAGTGCCGGGGACTAGTCCACGGATGTCCTTCTTGAAATCTCAGGAGACTATTTCAAGCAGGCAGTGAGGTAACGCACTGCTCTTGTGGGTGTGTGCGTAATGCGGGATGGGGTGGGGGTGGCAGCCGGGCAGCAGGGATGGGGAGATGAATTCAAGTTTATACCAGAAGGAAGTGTCATTGAGCTGGATTTTTAAGGTAACAGAGGCCCGAGAGAACTCCTGGCTTTGCTCTGGATGCAGAGACCTGGATACTAAACATTTTTCCTCTTTGCTCAGCATCACCTGAAGATAAACTCCAGATTCAGAAGTCATAGAGGGGTTTCCAGTAAAACACTCTGAGTGTAAAGATGACATAGGAAGGAAAGTTTACACCTGCAAAGTTCCTCTGTCTGAACGCTGGTGAGTCTCTGGACCCTCCTGGAGCCCAGGTGAGACGTTAAGGGGTTGTGGTGGAGAGAAAGAGAGAGACAAAGAGACAGACTAATTACCGTAGGAAGTCCTAATGGACCGTTCCTCTGTTCTCTTGTTTCCTCAGAAACACCATCACTTTCCAGACATTAATTAGCTCTAGAAAAATACTGCATAAACTCCGTTCACACAAAATGCAGGGCTCCTTAAAGGTCCTACCACGACTTCCAGGGCAGAGAGCCACGTGATGGAAGCGGTGCCCGTCCCCTCTGTACTCATCAGTCACAGAAGCCACCCCGGGACTGGGTGAAGAAACGGACGTCTTGCCATTAAGGTCATTCTGTGTTTCCAGAAGTCAGTACTCATGCGTGAGTCAACTGTAAAGCATTTCAGTTCCCCAAACCTTATAATGGTGTTAAAATCGACACACAAACATCGAAGATACACATACCAGTGAAGGATGATGTAAAACGATGTAAATTCCAGCTTAGTAGCTGTTTGTTTTCACAGTGGCTTTGCTGCCACTTGCCCAGCAATTGAATTTTTTTTCTTTTTCTTTTTTTTTTTTTTTTGTTCTGGGGGTTGGCAATTAGGTTTATTATTTATTTGATTTTTCAGTGGAGGGACTGGGGATTGAACCCAGGACCTCAGGCATGCTAGGCATGTGCTGTACCACTTGAGCCATACCCTCCTCCACTGCCCCGCAATTTAAACGTGAAAAGTGAATGATCTCCAATGAGGCACCGGCCTCAGTTGCTGATGTCCATCACCAGGAACTGCAAACTGGGTACTGGTGCAAAACACCAGCGCCCACCTCAGGCTTCTGCCCTTTGTTTCTGCTACATTAGATCTCTAGGCTGCACGTGGGTTGAATCCACATCTACTGGTGATTTTTCATAAAGCCAAGGGACGTATTGACCCTATCCTCTTGTTTTACTGACAAAGCAGTAAAAATAGGTCCAAGGCTGCACAATTAGCTAGTGGCAGGGGAGGGTAGGACACAGGTCTTGTAGCAATTTGGGATCATCTGCATATTTGTTTTTGATGGTGTTTATGTAGTTTAATTGAAAAGCTTCTAACATTTCAGCTTTTAAATTGCTTTGTCAAAAGGTTAACATTCCATACCTGCGCTGGCCAACACAGCAGCCACTAGCCACACGGACTCCTGCCCTCTTGAAACACGGCTAACCTGAACTGAGATGTCCCGTAAGTGCAAGATTTAGCATAAAAAAAGTAAAATATCTTACTAATATTTTGTATTGATTACATCTTTCAGCGGTCATTTTTAATATATTGGGTTAAAGAAAATATTTTAAAATTCATTTCAGCTGTTTATTTTTATTTTCTAACGTGACTGCTAGGACATTTTAAATTATGCATGTGGCTCACATGCTTTATTACTAGTGGACAGTACTGATTTATGGGAAAACACTTAACTGCACTGAGGAGAGAGCTGCAAGCAATCTTCCTTCCCCAAATTTGCCAGTGGCAGGAGCAAAGGACGAGCGAATGAGAAGGCATTTGATCCAAGTACTTTAAAAAATCCTTACCTGGTCAAGGAAGCCAGACTTGCAAGCCACATAATAAAAATAAAAACTAAAACATACTTTGAAATCAAAGAAATTTTACGTTAACCTGTAAGTGTGCATGCATGTGTAAATTTTACTTGTGAAAGAGCATCAGCAATTACGACAACATGACAACCACCTCCCCTTTTGATCAAGAGCAGCTACTTTCCTAGAATAATCATAAGCAAAACCAATTAATGTCCTAGAAATCAGTTCTCACTTTAAAGAGATATCTGTCCATTATAAATACCCACACCAAACAGACAGATGAGTGATAAATAGGTGACAAATAGGCGGTAGATTGATTGATAGACAGACAGACAGACAGACAGATTCAATCCACCATATAAGTGGAAATGGGAAATGATGGTTATCTGAGTTGAAAGTTACAGGTCAGCACTGAGCCCTTCTTAACTTAAAACAGCTGGCAGGCAGCCTCCTCACCCAGAAAACCAAATATTCCTCTTTGTAACAAAGAAATTCTCTAGTGCAAAAATTGACTGCCTCTATCTTGGAGGAAAATAATAATTTTATCTAAATTAATAGGTTAATTTCAAATGTACTGGTATATCAGCCATGGTCACAAAACTAGAAAAATGAACATGTTTTTATTACCACAGATACACTCTTTTTGATAAAAGAACACCATTGTTTTTCAAAGGTTTCAATTTTTTTTTCAGCAAGATACGCAGGTATCCAAGTAGAGACAGTAACTACGCCTGAAATAATACAATTCTGACAGCGCAAAGGCACCTGCGGTCTCTAGGCTGTGCACGACGGGAAATTAATAAAGTGTGCTCTGTTCTGCTCGGGTGAAATGGCACTGCTGACTGCCAGGAATGCCTGACTGCTGGACACAAGCGGAAAGGGGGACTTCCACAACTTGGGAATTCAATTTGGGTGTTTCCTGAGTCTCTACTTAGGAACAACTCTATGAAAGCTGTAGCGAGAAAAGATTCTGGAGGTTTCTGCAATAATGGTGCACATATATTTGCCATCTGCAGAAATAACTGAGTGAGCGGCGGTTCTGTGTGATGGTGGCGACAACCCCATCTCTCTCCCCTCCTCTCCTCTGTTCACCGGGCGCCACCGTCCCTTTTACCAAATTAAATGCCATGTGTTAAATGGGATGAAAATGCATCCCTGCTTTGTGTCTTCTGTTTCTACAAAACGAACTACGGATCTTTCTGTGCCTCAGCCCATAGGACCTCCTGCATTTCCAGAGATAGAATTGTTGACAATTTGCAATCCCAGGCAACAACCAAAAAAAAAAAAATAGTATTATTGTCTTACAAATTTGTTAAATTTATTCTAATTTTATCCTCCCCTTCTCTCTCCCTCCCACTCCACCTCTTCGAATCCAAATGCCGCTGGAGAAGAAGCACATTTGGACTGATTTGGAATGTAAAATGCTCCAGCCTTTTACTGTTACCTAGAAAATCTTCCTTAAAAATGTATATATTGTTTCAAGTTTTTAGTTCAAAGCAGAAAAGGTTCCCTGTGCTAAGACTAGCTTCTCACGTGGAAGGGGGTCGTTCAAAAGACAATGTGGGCAACTATGCAGAATAAATCCCTAAGGAAGGCAAGCCGTGTCACACTGTACAGTCAGAAGGACCAGAATTCCACCACAGCGGTGTAACTCACCATTCAGTGGATGTAACATGATTCACGGAGCTTCCCGTTGAAAAGTCTCTCACCCCCCCCCCAATGTGAATTGGAGTTTTAAAGGGAAAATACAGCATTTTTCGAGATGTAGGACTCAGGCAGGTTCCCACATGGCGAGAAGCCAGCAGTGCTTTGCAGGCAAGCCTAGGAGCTGTCGGCAGTCACTGCCATCCTGTGGGAGCCACAGTCTTACAACCAAAGGTGGGCTTTGCTATCTTCTGTTCTTACGATAAGGAAACAGGAAAAACACATGCAGACATCATGAAGCACATTCTTTCAAAGGAGAATTAAAATATTTAGCCAAGTCTCGGCCAAGCCCACGAAGGGCTCCCATCTAGTAGGAGAACACGCTGAACAAAACAGCAGCCTCCAACGTGCCTCGCGTTTTTCTCACTTGGGACCACATTCTTTTCAGGACTCCCGTAAATCCATTAAATCCACTTCTGCATTAACAGAGACACCTGCACCATAGAATTGTCTAAAACACCAACTTCTGCTTTGGAAGGAATCTCAAATAATGTGTAAGACAGAGACTTTTTTTTTAAGGACATGTTTTAGGAAAGTGTATCAAGATGCTCGCCCTCCCTGACAAGGCTACAGAAATGCAGTTCGCCCTCCCCGGGCCAACTCCAGCCTTTACAGAGCCCGCTCGCCCTCCCGGAGCGCGGCGGCCCCTTTTCGGGGGCTCGCAACCGAGAGCGCCAAAGCCGCCGAGGCCTCCGGCGCCCCGGCGCACAGGCAGCGCGGCCGCGGCCAAGGGGGAGAAATCGGTTACCTGCGGGCGGACGCAGCGCTGCCCAGAGCCTCTCCGGAGCTCGCCTCGCACAGGACGGCGGCGCAGGCTGCGCGGATGCGGGCTCCTCCCG